GCCTAAATCCATCTTCCAGAGGGACGCTATTTGGTTGACAATGTTCAAGAGGCCCACAGCAACAGACAGGTCGTTGGCTGCTCCAGCAGAGCCCACAGAGTTCTCGATGTCACTGCTGATCCACACAGCCCGCACAGGGTCCAGATTCTTGTGGCGGCTGGTGAGCACCATGCACACAGTCTTGTGGCCTTTCCTGATCTGGGACGTGATTTCCTCATCCTCGAGCTCAGTCTGGCTTTGGTTTCTCACACCTGCTGTGAAGTCAGAGGCTTTCAGGCCAACGGGCTTGTTCCTGGCTTCAGGAATCACTGATGGCTCTGCCCTGGGCACAGGAGTTGAGGGCGGAAGCAATTGGTGCCCTCTGAAATGGCTCCGACAGCACTTGCTTTGGCAACGGGGTCTGGACTTCCGCAGCTTGGTTAGGCTTTGCTGCTTCCTTTGCAGTTGCAGGCTTATCCTGTGGGGGGGCTGCAAATGCTCATTGATTTGAGGAGGAGTTTGAGAGATGGCATTGCTGGGCTGGAAGATCTCTTTGTAGTCCTCTGAGTTCTGGATCTCAGCCTTGGACTCCTTCTCATCCCGGTCGTCTTCACTGCTGGGAATGCACCTCTTGCTCTCACTACTGCTCTCGTTATGGACAAGGACAAAATTCCTGCTGGATAAACAGAAACCTGAGCCTTGAACTGATTCCAAACGGCAAGGGTTTTCAGCCTGTACTTGTTAATGTATTTATACAGTTTCAGGATCAGCTTTCTTTCACTTCTTTGACAAAGCTAAAATGCTAACCATCCCCTCAATCATCCTGCTCGTTGTTTTCTATTCTGTAGAAGGAAAAACATTCTATGTGATAACAAAATACTGTTTTCCCCCTCCCAGTGCACCGAACGTGTCTCCCCTCTAAATACTATCAAATCCTATCCCAGGCTTCAAAAGTCTTCCAGTGTGCAGCAGAAGTTGCTTCCAATTCAGTTTAGCAACTGCTCTTTAGTATAGAATCCAGCTGAACAGATAGACAAGTGTGCCTGTTCACATCCTTTCTGCAGTATGGCAGGCTATTACATTTCTACTTAAGATTGACCCTGATTTACATTTGGATGCAACTTTGAAAAACTTTCTGTCCTGGCAGGTGAGCAATGAATACTTACTGTGAGTCACCAAAAGCCTTGAGCATCTCTCTGTCCAAGTAGTTTCTTGTGATGACATATGCAGAGTCCTCCTTCGGTTGTGGAAGCTGAGGCTTGACTGCCTGGTGCTCAAGTAAGGAGTCGAGGACTGGAAGGTCTATCAGCTGCAGCAGACAAGCAGTTGTTCTCACCAGACCTCATTAATAACTGGGAAGGGTGGAATACACCAAACACACAGTTTGTGTGTTCCTAAAGATAGGAAAATGGCAACTCCTCTCCCTTGAGCAACCCAAATCTAAGAGATTAATTTTTTCTGCTGCTGTAAATCTGTTCTGGTAAAGCGTATTCCTTATCGCCTGTAAGTGCATTTTATCACTGCTGAAGGAAAGAATCAGCCATTTGTCTAGATCACTGCAAGTGTAGGAGAACCACTCTTTGGATGAGCCTGAAATGCGTACATTCTCCGCACTCCAGCTTGCAAGCAGTCTTTGTTCTAGATAATGGATAGCAGTGGAGCAGTGTAGAGCTCTAAGCTTATCGCAGCTTCCACAACTGTGACCTCACTCCAGTGTTTCCATCACTCCTTGAGTGTTGCTATGATGCCTCAGCATCTTTAGCCAAATGAAAAAGTGCTATGCCAGTTTATAGTTCAGGCTGAAGAGATGTGAGTCGTCAGGGACAGTTCCCTACTGCACCGAAAGTGAAGAGATGCACAAAGGGGGGGGTCTGAGCCAGATTCTTGTCACTTCTGAGCAGCCCATGAGGAACTGAACCTGACTTGGTGACTCTGCTGAGATCCACAGCAAAGGAAGAGACTGTGCACTGTGCAAAGGAACCTCCCATCAGTTGGTTGTTGCAGATAGATAGGTCAGCTGCTTTTCCCCAGTTCACCAAGACCACATCAAAACAGCACTCTGGCTCCCAGCCATACACACGCAGCGAATCCTGGAAGCCACCGTACAAGCAGCAGCCATCTGGGTTGAGAAGAACACACTTGTCGGGAGCAGCCTCCTCTTCAGCACAGCTCACAGCGTGAAACTTCTCCAAGCCCCGGAAACGAATGGTCCTGTCAGAGCTGCCAGAAGCCAAAAGGGCTTCGGGCAACAAGGTTGACTGGGCCAGAATGTCCGTAAACTCAAACGTTACCTTCCCAGCAGTCAGCTCCCACAGCTTTACAGTGTGATGAGCAACAGCAGAGCTGCAGCACCACTTCCCATCGCGACTACGTTGAAGGCATCTCACGGCTTCAAGACACAACCTTTTCTTCTTACACCCCAGAGCCTAATGTCTGTTCAAAGAGCCAGATGCCACAAAACTTCCGCAAGGATGGAATCAAGGCTGCAGATGTCTGCTTTGTGACCTAGCAATGTGCAAAGAATTTTGGCAGCTTCCAGGTCCCAGACTCGAATGGACCCTGACTGGGACCCTGCAACAATGAGCTCCTCATTGGCACTGGCTCTCATTGGGTGTCTAAACAGTGACTAAACTGAAGGCATCTCGCTGGGAGCTCGGACAGGGGTACTGTTCTTGATTTCCTGGGGATTTATGTAATTGTATCTCAGCTCAGCCTTGAAGTTTCTCTCTTCAGTGCATTCGGGGATGTCTCCCAATTCTCTCTGGGAGGCCCTGATGAGCCACTGGGGTTCTGCCTCTGTGAAACGCTCCTCTGGATAATGCCCCAGGAGCCTCTAGAGGGAGAAAAGAATGGGGACTCTGTCAAGTTCAGGCATGGCAACATGGCGTGGTTGCCTCAAGCCACCTGACATCAGCAGGGCAATGGTGACCACCGTCTGGGCTGGGGTGTACCCAAGTGGTGAGGAAGGCTCACAATGTCTTCCAGGTGGGAGCTGAGGGGGATGAGAACCACCAGGATGTTGGCAGTGGTGTTGACTTCAGGGAGAGTGTCCAGGAAGTGCTGAAGGAAGGTCTTTCCCTTCTCCTCTGGTGGCGGGTGGCGCATGGAAGGTGGTGCATTGGGTAGGAAGGCATCCATGTCATACTGTGGGCAGAAAGCTCGCAGACAACAGAGGGGATGTGTAGGGCCATCCATTTGGCGTGGGGACGGGTTGGATGAGGACACTGTCCTGAAGTGAGGTGGGGACGTCTCTCCAACACAGAGGTGAAACGGCTCTCTGGCATGCAATGGGGATGTCCCTGTGGTGCATGAGAAGGATGTGCTACCAGTGTAAGTGGGGGACAGATGTTCCCCCCAGCATGAAAGGAGGACCATACTCTTGCACAGAAGTTTCAGATGGGGACAATTTCTTCAGTGCACAAAGGCACTGGACAAGGTTGTCCCTTCAGTGCGGACTGGGACAAACAGGGAACACTGTCATAAAGAGCAGGTAGACACAGATGTCCTCCATGGCATCGGTAGGAGACTTCCCTCCAGTGTGCAGAGGTCAGCAGGGAGTAACTGCCCAGAACGGGGCAGATGGGGATTCCTGAAGTGCACATCTGCACTTCAATGCTTGGATAGATCTGGGCCACCTGCTGCAAAAGACGAAGAATGGTATTGTTTTGCAGGTGAGGAACATACAGCTGCAGTTCAGGTTCCTTTTCAGCTTGGTCTTTCACCCAGTTCAGCACCTTGCTGACACGGCTACATAACCTGAGTGGGTGAAAGTCAACTTCAAGCCAATTGTAGAGTTCTTTTACTTCTGGAACAACATATTGTACTACGTTGAACCTCACCATGTCATTAAACGTGCCCTGCCACGTTCCCTGTTCCTTTCCCACCTGTCCACTGTTGACAGCTGCATGCTGTGCTGAGCAATGAACATCAGCATGGTAGGAAACTGGTTGAGATCTGCCACCGTCTTCAGCAAGAAGGGGATGCCTGAACGGCAGGGGGCAAAGAGCCATCAGGGCCCCATCCAAGGCACCCCCTTGGGGACACCTAGGAGCCTCTGGGAGCCCACTGGGCTATGGAATGGTACCTGAGGATGTCTGGCCCAGGAAACCATTGGTGAAGATATCCATCACCCAGGCCTGCAGCTACGCATCACCTTGCACCGCTGCATTGTAGGAAGCCACCATCCTGGAGACAAACCTGTCATAGGAAGAGGGACAGTGAGGCTGCAGGATGTCCCCGGAGCCATCAGTGATTGTTGCTGAATCCTCCAGTCCACCTCTTGATGGCCTCCCACAGGATCATCCCATCATCCAATGTATGGTAACTACTGAGTCATGGCATGAACCACTGATTGAGCACCTGGGGAAAGGATTCAGTCAGCGCTGGGGTGAAAGCAATTCACTTATGTGACCAAAAGGAGAGGAGCCTGGATCCACCATCTCTCTTAGACCTCATTCAAAGGCTGACTGCCACTGGGAAAGGATCTCCCTGGGGATTTCTTCTTGGTGAAGCTTTCCCCTGAGAACCTAGAATCTTCTGATATGGGCGAGCTGCTCTGTTAGGATAAGAAACTCCCAGCAAAAGAAAAACAGAGTTAGCAAACATCAGAGAAGCTAGGGCCTCTCCACAAGGCCAGACTGTGTCACTCCGCGAGAAGACTGTTATGTGACAGACAGGCATCAAGATACTCCCCCCGTCCTTCTTCCGAGCTTATCTTTGTGGAAGGGAGCACAAGCAGATATCCACAGAACAACGATCAAGTGTGAAACAAGTTAGTTAATTAATTACAGATTTACAGCCAGCCAGCGAGGAACTAGGGGAGAAAGAGATAAGCATCGGCCAATTCTATCACCACTTACGCTCAGTGTAAGGCCTCAGTGGGAAGAATTTAAGGCCCAAGATCATCAGTTGATAGCTGAAGGGTCAGGTACACTTCAGACAAACATCTCTATGGCTTTGAGTGGCATACAGGCTCAACTGGGAAAACAGTTGAGGCCATTGTATTTCATTACAATACAATTTGACACAAAATAAAAGCAGTCATAGAATTGCACCAACTCCACGTTCAGCCTCCTGAACGTGACAACAGTAAATGAGTCCGTAATGCATAATGACATTCCTGGATGGCAATACATGCTCACGGAAACTGATGTTACTCCGACTCCATTCACAGAACTTACAAAACTCAATTTGGTAGCCAGACAATTTGGTACCCCAACACTGATTTTTCTACTGCTTAGTCATACGTGGAAAAATCTGTCCTATTTTAAGTGTCGGTATCTTTTTAACAATATAGAAAAAAGAATATGTAGCGCATGCTTTATTGTTTGTCAAAAAAATTTCTGAAAATAAAACTAAGTTATCGAAAATGTCACAAAACCGAGAAAAAATTCTTCAGGTTAAAAATGCAGTTAGGGTTACGTTCACTTCCATCTCCAAAGGTCTGACTTCCTTGGCAGCATCACGTTTGCTTAGCAAGAGCCAAGGCATGGAGTTCCATAAAGAGAAATAAAACTGCTTATGAAGAAGAACTCAGCCTGGCTTTGTAAAAGAAATCAGAGCCTCTCTCTGAGCTTTTTGCCCCATCAGATTAGTGCCGAAGAAAAAGTGAGATTTGGAATGCATTTCTGTTACACGCATTTCTGCTGGACACAATTCAAAAGTTCACCAAGATTTTCGAGAAGACCCTCCACCCATTTCACTCGTTTCATGCACAGCTGCGCAATCTCTTCCTGGCCTCGATTTGCACTCTTCTTCGGAGCAGAAACGTATTTTGAAGAGAAAGAGAGGAACGCGCAGACACACAGACGTGAACTCCGGCACGGACATCCCCGCTTCCAGTCTGAGTCGGCGCATCCCTTTCAGCAGAAGTTCGCCGCCGTGTGCTGACCACGGCCGCACCTCGGTGCGTCCAGAGAGCAACGCCTCGTGAAGTGACCAGTGAAGCACTGACTGCTGAGCGCTACAGCCCCTCCTGGATGGCAAAGCGTGCTGCCCCGCCGCTCGCCGATCCGCTCGGGGTCTGCCCTGAACATCACTCGGTTCACGGCGAGATTGCAGCCCTCCGCCTCGCGCAGTCGGGCCAACAGGCGGCTCACCGTTTGTCCTCGTCTGAACGGCCCGCGCGATTCACACACCGTGACTCCTCCTCTCCGTGCCTGGCGGGCAGCGCTGCGTCGCTTTCCCTCGGGAAAGCCCGATGCACGAACGCACGCCTACAGCTCGTACCTCCCCGCGCTCCTGCAGCAGCTCGCCCCCCCCGCGGCCCCGCTCTCGCCCCGCGGCCCCGGCCCCACGCCGTCCCGCCGCTCCCGGCTCGGGGTCCCGTTTTCCCGCCCGACTGACCGGGCGCCCCCCGGGCCCGCACGGCCCCTTCCGCCCCGTGCCTCGTCGCCGTACCGGCCACGGCGCCCCGCCGCCACAGCGCAGGGCCCGGCCGGGCCTGGCCTCTTCCCGCCCCGCGCTGGCGCTGCTCCCGCCGTGTGCCCGGAGGTGCGCTTCGCCGCCGGCCCGCGGAGCGGTGCGGGCCTTCAGCAGCGCGGGCGCGGAGCGATTACTAAGGATCTCCGAGGGTGCCGTACGTCTTCTCACACTTGCTATTGGCGTCGGTGCCAGTGTGCACTGGGCCTGGATACAGTACGTAAGCGTAAGGAAATCCAAAGGCCTTCCACTTGTTCCAGCTCTTTTCTAAGAAGCCTCTTTTCACAGGAGCCTAAATCCATCTTCCAGAGGGACGCTATTTGGTTGACAATGTTCAAGAGGCCCACAGCAACAGACAGGTCGTTGGCTGCTCCAGCAGAGCCCACAGAGTTCTCGATGTCACTGCTGATCCACACAGCCCGCACAGGGTCCAGATTCTTGTGGCGGCTGGTGAGCACCATGCACACAGTCTTGTGGCCTTTCCTGATCTGGGACGTGATTTCCTCATCCTCGAGCTCAGTCTGGCTTTGGTTTCTCACACCTGCTGTGAAGTCAGAGGCTTTCAGGCCAACGGGCTTGTTCCTGGCTTCAGGAATCACTGATGGCTCTGCCCTGGGCACAGGAGTTGAGGGCGGAAGCAATTGGTGCCCTCTGAAATGGCTCCGACAGCACTTGCTTTGGCAACGGGGTCTGGACTTCCGCAGCTTGGTTAGGCTTTGCTGCTTCCTTTGCAGTTGCAGGCTTATCCTGTGGGGGGGCTGCAAATGCTCATTGATTTGAGGAGGAGTTTGAGAGATGGCATTGCTGGGCTGGAAGATCTCTTTGTAGTCCTCTGAGTTCTGGATCTCAGCCTTGGACTCCTTCTCATCCCGGTCGTCTTCACTGCTGGGA